AGTGCAGGGGGTCTCCCGGCAAGGGTGGCCGCAGGGGATGACGGGAGTGCGGGGGGCCTCCCAGCAAGGGTGGCCGCGGGGGACGACGGGAGTGCGGGGGGGGGCCTCCCGGCAAGGGTGGCCGCGGAGGACGACGGGAATGGAGTGGGCCTCCCGGCAAGGGTGGCCGCGGGGGACGATGGGAGTGCGGGGGGCCTCCCGGCAAGGGTGGCCGCAGGGGATGACGGGAGTGTGGGGGGCCTCCCAGCGAGGGTGGCCGCGGGGGACGACGGGAATGCAGCGGGGCTTCCGGGAGAAGGCTGGCCAGCCCACCTTGCGGGGCTGTGGGGTGGTGTTAATGTGGCTGCCTTGTGATTCGATTTCTGTGTCGCTGTTTCCAGGTTTGCTGAGCCTGCAGGTGTTGAACGGTGAGTTTGGCGTGTTCCCTCCTTGGTGGATTTGTTTGTTTGTGTGGGTTGTTTCGGTACCAGGAATTGAACTCAGGACCCTGCGTGTACTAGGTAGGCGCCGTGCCTCTGAGCTACATCCCCAGCCCTCCGTTGTGGAGACTACGGTGCTATTTGCTTTTCGTGTTGGGGGCCTTCGGGTGCCCCCAGATCTTACACTCCACCTCCATCGTTGTTAGCAGCACGGAGACTCATCTCTCTACTCACCCAGCAAACGTTAATTGGTGTGTTGCCTTATTCTAGGTGTTGGGGCAGAACAGGGAATAGAACACACAACCTGCGTCTAGGTGAGCTAGCATTCCAGTGAGGCCAGAAAGAAAAGAAAGGCTTAGGTGGCGCTGGGCGCACGCCTATAATCCCAGCATTCTGGGAGCTGAGGCTGGAGGATTGCAAATTCAAGCCCAGTGTGGGCAATTTAGCAAGACCCTGTCTCAGATTAAAAAATACAAAAGGGTTGGGGATGGAGCTCAGTGTGAAGGCCCTGGGTTCCATCCCCAGTGTCAAAGAAAGACAAAAGCAAAATAGAGGTTGCAAGTGTGGCAGATGCGGTTATGTCCTATGGAGATGGTGGAGTAAAGGAGATGGAGGTGCAGTGTAGAGAGGCCGACCAGGTTTAGGGGTGATCAAGAAAGGCACCCCCCTGAGAGACCCGCAGGTTGCAAGGAACCAGACACACCCACTGGGTGGCATGTGCAAAGGCCCGGGGGCAGCAAGGAGGATGCTGCAGCCACTTTTCACTTCAAGCAAGGGGCCCAGAAGCTCTGCTTATCATTGGGTCTCTTTCTAATTCATAATTCACTGGTGACTTTTCTTCTTTGTCTCCTTCCTTCCTCCCCTCCTCTGCCTCTTTCTCCTCTTCTTAGATGAAATGAGTGACTGCAAGGAAGGTGAGTGAAGGTGCCATGTCCTCTGCCATCCGGGGCTGTGCTGAGACCCTGTGAGAGGCTCTTCCTGTGTCTGGAAGGGCAGTTGCATGTGCAACCCTGCCCGCTGCCTGCCTGTGTCTAGCCGGACCTCTGAGATGGGGTGAGGACTGTCTTCATTTACTTGTGCTACCCAGTGAGGCCACTTCTTTCCCCTGGAAATGACTGGGTAAGTCCTGAGCGCATACCAAACAGGAAGCCTCTGGGCCAGATACCTGTACCTCTGGTAAGGACCAGGCCAGACAGCAGGAGGAGAGCAGGGGGCAGGCAAGAGGCTCTCTCTGTGTTTCCAGCCAGTGCTGGTGGCCCACATGGCCGCCTGAGCACTGCCCCCTGCCAGGTCAGTGGGGCAGCAGATTCCCCTTGGAGCGTAGACTCAGCTGTGAGCTCTGCACGTGAGGGATTGAGGATGCGACTCCTTATGAGGGCCTGATGCCGATGACCTGGCGCAGAGCTGAGGTGGTGATGCTAGCACTGGGAAGCAGCTGCAAGTGTGGATGAGCGCAAGCACAGAGGTCTGACTGTGTGGAGAGCAGAGTACATCAACTGCTCCCAGACTCAACACTCTCCTTAACAAGTGTCAAGAGACAGTTACGCTGCGCCAGCGGCAGGGTTCATAGTGGCGAGCGAGTGGGTGCTCTTCAGCTGTGGCTGCGGCTGGGGGCTGACACTTGTTTTAGTCCATGTGTGGCTGCCCATCCTTTACCACTTCTGTCCGTGCCTTTTTGCTGCCCTGAGCGCTTGTCTCAGTCCTGGTTTTGGAAGCTGACAGGTCACTCTAGCCAAAGTGGTACAAACCAAGCATCACTGGAGAGCTGCTTTGGAAAGAGGAAGACACCCAGCAATGAGACAGAAGATCCAAGGACGGCAGTGAGAAGAGAGCTGCACTTAAAAGAAAACACCAGGTCCGACTTAAATACAGGCTCACTGCGACAGGTGACGCACACTCTCCAAGCCCGCTTTGCATAATATGTGGTGACAGCTACCCCGAGAGCCCTGAAAGCTTCAAAATGCTTTGCCACATGGAGACCAAGCACCCTACATTGAAAGACAAGGCTCTGGAGTTTTTCAGAAGGAAAAAGCCACAAACACAAGGAATAGAAGCAATTACTGGAGGCCACCGCAGCATCAGGTGTGGCTGCACTGAGAGCATTACTCTCAGCGGCTGCCGCTTTGCCAAAGCCCGTTACTGTTGGGAGGAGCTGATCCTGCCTGCTGCTGAGTACATCTGTCATGAACTTCCAGGAGAGCATGCAGTTCAAAAGATGGCATGAGGCCCCGCGTGGTGGCACACGCCTATAATCCCGGCACTCAGGAGGCTGAGGCAGGAGGATCACCGTGAGTTTGAGGCCAGCCTGAACTACAGTGAGACCCTGTCTCAAAAAAAGCGTGGAGGCAGCACGTGTTCCTCTTGTGACTAGATGATAAAATAGCAGAGGGCTTTTTGTTTTAGTTTTTTTGGTCTTTTTGAGACAGGGTCTTGCTACACAGTTCAGGCTAGCCTTGGGCTCACTTTGTAGCCCAGGCTGGTCTCAGATTCACAGTGATCCTCCTGCCTCAGCCTCCTGAGTGCTGGAACTACAGGCATGTGCTACCACACCCGGCTCTTACCAGAGCATACTGACACACAGTCACTGGAGAAGATTACTGGGTCACCATGGTACCCAGCCCAGGCTGAGGAGCCTGCTGGTACTGACACAAGATGACAGTGAATGTTTTCATGGGACACATTTTTGAGGAGGACATGCGCAAAGATGTGTTATGTGCACCTTTGCTGCCCTCTGACACCACAGCTGCAGAGCTGTTCGAGTGCTGGAGTGACTACACATCAGGAAAACTAAAGCGACCGCTTTGTGCTGGCGTCTGATGGACAGAGGGGCGACCACGACCTCATAGCTTCCTGGTTTCACTACCTGGGTCAAGGAGGTCGCTTCTGAACGTGGGTCTCTGCACTGTGTCATCTGTAGAGAAATGCCAGCTAGTCGAGAATGTCACCTAAACTTGACAGCGTCCTGTAGGGTGTGATAACGTCACCCATGCTCAGGTCCACGCCTTCAAGGTGATGTTGTCTGTGCAGCTCTGTGGGACGGACTCACGTTTTCTCCTGCATGCAGAAGAGACAGGGCTTTCTACAGGTGGATTCCTGGCTGGAGATTTGGGTTACAGGAGTCGCTCCAGTTACGTTTTAGGAAGACAGTCACCACCGGCAGCGCGTTTCAGTGACACAGATGGGTGGCAGAACTTGCTCACTTGGGTGACAAATTCAGCCTGCTTGACAGACTCAGTCTGTCTCTTCAGGGGGAATAAAGCTGTGTTCAGGTTGGCAGATAAAACACCTGCATTCAGAGCAAACCAGCGCTGTGGGGTGAGGAGTGAACAGTGGGATAGTTGATGTTTCACACGTTAGCAAAGCTTCACAGGCAGCCCGAGCCTGGGCCTGCGTTCGCCCAGCTGGTGCACGATCACCCTTCTCGGCTTTCGGGAGGGTGTGACCACTCCTTCCCCAGAAGCCCTCTGAGCGGGAGCAACGATTCACGGCCTCTGGGTAAGCCAGGGGAGCTGACTGTGCTGGAAGAGATTCACCTGCTTCAGGTTGCAGACGACGGCGGCCTTGAAGGTGTGTTTGAGAAACTTCAGATCTCCGTGTTTCCTGGGTTAAAGTCCAGCTGGGAAACCCCGAGGGTCCCACAGAAGCCCTGAGAAGCCGGCTTCGTTTTCCAGTGGTTTCCTGCTTGGGTCAGGAGGTCGCCTTCGCTGAGGAAGCAGGGTTTCCTGCAGTGAGAGATGAGCGTGGACTGGACGGAAGCTCGCGTCTCGGGTGTCAGTGTCTCCCACCCCCGGGGCACCGTCCGGTTGCACAAGACGAGCTCAGGGCTCCTGCTGGTCTTGCGCTATGGTGAGGTGTGGAATTATTGCGTACCTCAACATAGAAATGAAGTGCACAACGGAGGTACTGCACCGGGTCACCCTGAAGCCACGCCCACACCCCTGCATAGAAAGCCTGTCTTTCACGTAACCAGTTCCTGGTCCCGAAAACACTGCTGCTCGAGGTGCCACCACATTAAGCACATTAAAATATGTTGTGGGGCTGGGGATTTAGCTCAGCGGTACAGTGCCTGCCTGGCAAGCGCGAGGTCGTGAGTTCAATTCCTGGTACCGGAAGGAAAAAAAAAAAGTAAAAAAAAATACGTTAAGTTCTTAAGAAATGTGTGAACATCGGCAGGGAAAATGTAGGCAGTCTGGAAAAGTCACAAAAAATATGGAAAGTCTAGAGTTGAAAGTAGGCAACAGAAGTCAGTTTCTGCTGCTGCGCGTCACAGCATAAAGGATGTGGTGGATGGAAAGCAGGTTAAGAGAAAGTGCTGCAAAGCCAGGCGTGGTGGCACATGCCCGTAATCCCAGCACTCAGGAGGCTGAGGCAGGAGGATCAGCATGACTTTGAGGCCAGCCTGGGCTCCATAGCGAGACCCTGTCTCAAACGAAACAGGACACAGAAGAAGGGGAATAGAAGGGGAGAAGAAAGAAGAGAAAGAAAGAAAGAAGTGCAGGAACAAGGAAAGTGAAGATGCAGGAAGAGCCTGAGAGACCCAGGGCAGGCGGCCAGCCACGCAGGGAGGCTCGGGTTCCGGCTGGGAAGGAGAGAGAGGAGGAGGCGGCAGAGGTGAAGCGGTGCCTGAGGGCTGAAGGCTGAAGGTTTTGCATGTTGATAAAAACCACCAAGTGACAGACTTTAAAGATTCTGAGAACCTTGAGGAACAAATCTAGAGAAAACCACTTCTATGGACACTGCCGCAAGTGGCTGAAAAGCAAAGACAGCAAGGGCCTATTTTAAAACAACACCTTCTTCCTGGAGAGAAAGACAGGTACCATGACCTAGGACTGTGGTAACAAAGCACTGGGGACAGCGGGTCTTGCTGTACTGGAGGCCGGGGTCGGGAATCAAGGTGTCTGCAGGGCCAGCCTGTCTCTGAAAGCAACTGCTCTTACGCAGAAAATCAAAACCAGGCATTTCCCAACTCATTTTGAAGACAAAATATCCTTGGTGAAAGATTTGACAAATATTGTACTAGAGAGAATTGCAGGTCAATTTTTCTCACAACGACAGATGTGAAATCCTAGACTAATATTAACCAGAGAAACTGGGCAAACTATTTTTTAAAAATCGTAATCAAATTGAGTTCATTCCAACAATGGAAAGATTTTTAAATATATGCAAATCAGTATGTGTAATCCTCATTAACATAAAAAGGAAAAATCACATCATCTCAATAGACACAGGAAAAGACTATGATACAACTCGATAATGATTCATGATTTTTAAAAATCTCAGCAGACCAAGACTAGAAGGGATCATTGTACTATGACAGAGCATAGTTACGGAAAATTTACAGGGTGGGTGATGTTGCATGTTGTGCTGTTTGCTCCTGAGACCCTAAATGAGATGCTTATTTCTGCTACCCCCTGAGTTTCCCACACTGGACCAGACGGTCTACCCAGGCAGGTCCCGTCCAGGCTAGAGGAAGGAAGAGGCACCAGGATCACAACGGAAGAAAGAAACTCATTTTCGTAGGTGTGGTTGTGTACCTAGAGCGAGCCTTGGCCTGGGAGAGTACCCCTGCGGGTTAGGATAGGCTGGAGCTCAGCACCTATAATCTGAGACAAAATTCAGGGCAGAGCACAGCTTAGTATTGGAGCGCTTGCCCGCTATGTCCCGGACGCGGACACGCCCAGTCCTGATTTCCATCCTTAGCACAAAACAAACCATCAAGTTCTCCAGGAAAAGGGAGAGAGAACGGATAGTTTTGGTTTATGAGTAAGCATTAAACCAAAATGCTAAGAGACTGCATAGGCAGAAGAACTCTCACCCTTTAAGAAAGGTGCCTCAGTGACTCTCCTTGTCCCAGGGACAGAGAACCTGACACCTTGAACTTAAAGGAGGAGAGGCTTACCTTGGCTCATGTTTTGGGAGTGTCAGCCCTTGCACGGTCCGGTCGGCTGGTTGTGGGAGGGCCTGGCGGAGGAGAGCTGCTTACCTAATGGCAGACAGGAAGCAGGGGGGAGCTGGGGAGGCAGATGCACCCATCCGGGCCAGTGCCCAGCGATCCACCTCTCTGGCGGGGCCCCACCTCCTAACCTCGCATTTAGCTGTAAACCGAGATCCACCACCTTCCGTAGGTCCTGCCCCTGAGCACCCCACCTCTGGGGGACTCTGGGTAGAACCACGATGATAGCAAAGCAGAGATAACACACGGCCTCCGTGTTCTCCACGTGAGCAGTGAGCACAGGTTACTTTAAGAAGACTCGCGCATCTTCTAAAGAGGCAGAGACTCACAACTAGGAGTTCCCTGCGGTAGACCCTCCAACAAAAGGAGGGGGCATCCCGGAACGCGCCAGAGGCAGAACTACCTTCTTGTCTTTTCTAATGTGCTGTTCAGTGTTTACCTTTACACTGGTAGTGTTCAGTGTTTGTGGTTTGGGGCTCTGCTTGGACAGATGTGTTACCTGTGGAAAGAGTTTTCCCGATGGTGGTATTTGTAAGGTAAGGCGAGGGGAGGACCTGCAGAGGCAGAAGAGCGCCTGCGGTCTGCGAGGCTGGAAGAGAGGGGGTGACCCGTCACCTGGGGTGAAGGCTCAGCGCGGGGAGGCGGTGGAGGGACCCGGAAGGGCGGGAGAGGATGGCGGTGTTCTGCTGCGGGCCGGAGTGGGCGGGTCAGACTCGGGTGTTTGGAGGATGGGGACCTGGCGGCAGCGGGAGGCGGGACTCAGTGTCCTGGGGACGTGGCGGGGCTGTCTTCAGGAAGGGCAGGGTGTCCGGACCGCACAGGGCGCCCGGCAGCCCAGCCGTGTCTGTGGTTCTCTGCAGAGAGGCCCGTCCCGGCCACCACCCCGGGGAGGCCCGTGCAGAGGAGGAACAGCTGGAACCTCCTGAAGTGCACCTACATGGTGTTCACCTTCCTGTTCGTGTCCTACAACAAAGGAGACTGGGTGAGGAGCGCCCGCGGTGCCCAGGGGGTGTGGGGAGGCCCCGGCGGGTGCCGGCCTCGGGTGAAGTGCACCCCCTCCGTGTGGAGGCCCCGTTCCTGTGCGCAGCGGCCACTGACTCGGTCCCCACACACGGGCCCGTGAGGCCTGTGAGGCCTGGCTCGCTGCTCGCGCTGGGCTGTGAGTGGGGCAGGTGGAGCAGAGGCTGGGAGGTCCCAGGTCCGGCAGGTGCCGGGGGCTGGGCGCGAAGGGCGTGGGAACGGGCTGCCTGGGCCGCTGTGACCCCGGGGGACACCGGAGATTTTGGTGGCCACCACTGAGGAGGCGCGGAGCTGGCGGGACGGGAGGCCCCTTCGCGCCTGTGCCGCTCTGAGGGGCCCTGCCCATCCCCAGGCCTGCAGTGGTGCCACTTCGGGCCCAGGAGAGCTGGCCGGGAGAGGAGTCTGGACCAACCATCGGGCTGGGCGGAGGCGGGGAGGGGCGGCGGCCGAGAAAGCGCTCACCTGCTCACCGTTCTTCTCTCTGTCCCGTCCCTCCCTCTGTCCTCCCCAGTGTTACTGCCACTACTGTAACCCGGACCAGGACATCAGGTAGCTGCCATGGAGGGGGGCTCCCGCTGTGGGCCCCCTGGGGGGGGCAGGGCTGGGATTGCCAATTGCAGTCAGGAAGTGGGAGGAAAGCCCCAGGCCCACGCCCTTGACTTCCAGCCACAACCGACAGGCCAGTGAAGCTCGGGGCAAGCTGGGGTGGTGCAAACAGGAGGAATTCATTTGTGAATTCACTCAGTAAAGTGTATTTTCAGATTTTAAACACTGTGGCAAAATACACAGAGCATAAAAATTTACCTGGCTGGGTACAGTGGTGCACTCTGGGAGGCTGAGGCAGGAGGATGGAAAGTACAAGCCCAACCTGGGCGACTTAGTGACTTAGCAAGACCTTAGGAAACACTAATCCGTTCTCTGTCTCTGTTGATTTACCTGTACCGGGCGTTTCTTACCAGTACAGGACATGGCTTTTTTGTCAAGCTTTATTCACTTAGCATAATATTTTCAAATTTCATCTGTGTGCAGCATGTATCTATACACCATTCTTTTTCATGGCTGAATCATATTCCACTGCATGGATATACCACATTTGTTTATCCATTCATCAGTTGAAGGGCATGGAGTTGTTTCCACTTTTTAACTTTCGTGACTAGTGTGTTTATGAACGTTTGTATACAATTTTGTTTGAACCTCTTTTAAATTCTTCTGGGGACATACCTAGGAGTAGAGTCACTGGGTCATATGAAACTCTGTGTTGACCTTACTGAGGAACCGTCTCAGTGAGATTTCACTGACCCCCTGCTCTTTGGCGGAACCTAGATTCAGTGGTGAGCAGGGTGGAGAAGGTTTCTGTGCTCATGAGAAGACAGAAACCAAGTGAAAAGAGGACCGCAGCTGACATGGAAGCTCCGGAGGCAAAGAACAGTGGGGCCCTTGTCCGTCACTGGGTGGCCCTGGAGAGCCTCTTGGGAGGTGACAGGGAACCAAAGGTCTGAAGTCGGAGCAGCAGCCAGCCACTCAGAAAGCCAGAGCGTCTCCGGGGAAAGGGACCTGCTCAGCAAAGGCCCTGGGGTAGAAAGTGCCTGAGCCGAGTGGGGAGCCGGCTGAGGGAGGGTGGGGCCGGAGGACACAGAGGGCGTTTGGCTTCGATCCTGGGAGCTGCTCAAAGGTCTCACAGGGAAAAACGGTGTTCCCTGACTGGGAGTAAAGAGGGGGTCCAGCAAGCAGCCATTGTCGCTGTGCGGCCCAGGGCCAGCTCTGGCGGGCACGGAGGGGAAGAGGTGAGCGGCCGCCTGCCTCTCCTGCCCTGCCAGCCTCTCACCCGCTCCCAGCAGCCGGAGCCCCCCTTAAATCACACACAGTGGTCATGTTGCGCCCTGGCTGAAAACCCACCGAGGAACCTCACCAGCTGTCGGCAGATCCCCATCTGAAAAACAAAGCAAAGCCGGGGGCTTTCTCCTGAGAGCTTACGCGGACCCCAGGACAGCACTGTGAAGAGTCGGCAGCCTCTTAGCACCGACATCTCCTCCGGGAGAACTGTGCAACGCTGCTGCTGGGGAGCTGCAGCCGGAGCCTACCGGGGCCCTTGCGCCCTGGTGCGCGCCTTCATCTCCAGTTTGTTGGAGGGCGGTTTGCTTTCGATTGTCCTGTGGAGAAAGTCGTGGCCCCAGGAGCTGAGCAGGTGCCGGTGGTCACGGCTTGCTTACAGCCTTGTGAGCCCAGCCCTTCTGTTCCTGGAGAGCTCGCCAAGGTGGCTGTCGGTCTCCGGCGACCGGGAAGTCCTGCTGCATGTGCTGTGTTTCCCCACAGCTTTTAAAACAGGTTTTTTCCAGATGAGGAGCCCGAGGGCTGCAGAGGGTGGCGGCCGGCTCTGCCCATGACCGAGCTCGGCCCTGTGGCATGAGCTCTGAGACGCTCAGCTCTGCGTTTTCCTTTCTCCAAGGTCCTCTGCACGTCTCTTTCCCCTCCCTTCCCACCCACGCTCACCCCCTGCCCATCTCAGGCCACTCGTGGCTCCCGAGCGCACACTCGTCCTGGCTCTGTCCTGCCACCCTGCGCGCCGGGCCTTCCCACCGGCACAGGCTCACTGCTCTCTGCCTGCCTGGAGAACGCCTCCAGGGCCCTCCGGCTCGCAGAGGCACACCGCGTTCAGGAGCAGTGCCGGCTTTGCGGGGCGCACGGGGAGGGCAGCCAACGGCACGGATGGCGCCACTGGGCGCAGTCCTCGCCCTGGCCGCACCAGTCTTTACAGTGGTTTTCTGGTGTCTGACTCAGACCAGGGTTGGCGAGTTTCTCTGTGAAGGCCCCATCCGGGCTCCACTGCGGTTACTCAGTTCTGCTGTTGGCCCAGAGCAGCCGCAGACGGCAGGCACACAAGGGGGCCTGGTGGGTCTGCCAGCTGGTGAATGGATAAACAGAACGGCATGTGTCTGTGCCAGGGAATATTATGCAGCCATGACAGGGATGGATCTCTGATGCATGCGAGGGCACGGTTGACCCTGAAAGTGTTACGCACGTGAAGGAAGCCCGAGGCCAGTGATCACACGGGACAGGGTTCTGTTTACCTGAACTATCCAGAGGAGACAGTTCAGAGAGCCGGGGGCTGAGCGGGCCATGGTGCAGGTAGTGTTTGCATAATGGGTTATGTTTTGGATAGGCAGGAACTTTGCACTAGATCTCTGGGAGCAAGAAGCACCTCTTATGTACCCCGGGGTGCTGCACCCCAGCTCTGCCCTGATCCTGCCCACTCTGCCGCAGCCTGGGGGTGCAGAGCTCCTGGGGCGGGGTGCCTGCGCTCTGGAGCTCGCCCGCTAGTGGCAGGGGAGGGGCTCCCTGAGTCCTGCGTGTCCTGACGGCCCGAGGGGTCCCCGCGGAGGAGCTGGGGCGGCTTCCGTCCGTGGAGGACTGCGCCCGGTGCTGGCGGAGCGGGAGTGTGGGCAGGCGAGGACGTAAACGAAGGCACACCGTTCTCCCCCTCCCCGCCGCAGAAACGACCCCTGCTGCTCCTACTAGCGCCCGGCCGCCCCGCCGCAGCGCCCCGCGTTCCCTCCACGCCCGTCCAGGTGGCGGCGATCGAGGACAGCGGCGTGTCAGACGGCAAACCGCAGCGCGCCCTCGCTTCCCTCCCGGCCGGTCTCCCCGCCCAGCTCCGCAGTTAAATAAACGTGCACTGCTGACGGCTGCTCGCCTGGTTCCTCCGCGCCCGGCCGTGAGCTGCGAGGCCACAGCGGAGCAGGGGGCCCGAGCTGAGATCCCCCCGGGGTGCGCCTCGTTCCCAAGCCCCTACTCTTTCGTGTAAAGAATTGGGGCCCCCAGTGAGGAGATGGATGCGGGTCCGCAGGCGCAGCTACTCAGCTATGCTGTCGAGCTATGCAGTCGAACTCGCAACGATCCTCCTGCCTCAGCCTCCTGAGTGCTGGGATTACCGGCTTGTGCCACCACGCCAGGCCCTAGCAATCTTTTGAAATAAGTACAAGGTGGGGTTTTTGGCTTGAGTCTGTGAACCCACGGCTTCCAGGATGTCCCTTAGAAGGGACAGTAACTCACAGAGCAGTTTGGGCACAGACGCTTCCAAGCTATTTGTATAGCTGTCCTGCCAATCGGAATATAGCACATTTTTGCTGTGCTAACAGTTGGTCTTTACCACATCTTTCTCAAGCTAGTTAAATTTGTTTTGACAAAAACAGTTTTTCTGCCCTCACATATTTCTGGTTTGTTATACTTAATTGCATTGTATAATTGGAGGAAATTGTACTAGTTTGAAACGTTTTGGGGTAATTAGATACAACTGACTCCCGTAATCGCACAGCTGAATGGGCAGAGGTTCACACGCCGACCTCAGCAGCGAGCACCGAGCCCTGAGGGCAGTTAGCACCTGTTGCAGAGGCGCCGGGAAACCTCACGCACCCAGGGATCGCTCAGAAGTGGAGTTTAAGACAGATGTGGTGCGCACCTGCAGTCGCAGCTGCCCTGGAAGCTCAGGCCGGAGGATCCCAAGTGTGAGGCCAGCCTGCAACAAAGAGAGACTCTGCCTCACAATAAAATGGAAATAAAAAGGGTGGGGATGTAGCTCAGTGCTCCCTGGGTTCACCGGGGGAAGAGAGGCTTGTCCTGAGCCAGTGAGATAATAGTGCCAAGCACACGACGCCTGGCACCGCTGTGGTCTGATGCGCCCCCAGATTCACCTGCAGAGACTCGAGTCCCTGTGGAGCAGGGTCGGGAGGGGGCTCTGCCCGAATGCCGGATGGATACTGGTCGTAAGAAACAAGGCTGGCGGCAGCTCACTCTCCCTCTGGCCTTTCTGCTTGTCCTGGTGGGGAGGCACCAAGGCGGCCCACACCGGGTACCAGAGCCTTGGTCTGGGACTTGCAGCCTCCCAGCTGTGAGCCAGCGCGTTTCTGTTCTGATAACCCCCCAGGCTTAGGTATTCTGTCGCGGCAGCCCAAGTCAGCGTGAGGCAGGCGCACGGGAGAGTCTCAGTTGCCTTGGCTCATTATGTTATTTAGAGCCAGAAAGATGTAACGTGAACAAAGTACTTTTAAACTTTGCAAAGTAAAAAGTACAAAGGAACAGGTGAAATCAAGTTGAGCAAGGTGCTTTAACTGAATATATCCAAAATACTCTCAACTCAAAAAGTCATAAACAGTATTAATGAGATCAGCTACATTTTATGTATTGTTTGAAATCTGGTATTTTTATTTACGGTACATCCCAATTCAAATGCTAAACTTTCATTAAAACTCACTGATCTCTGGGGCTGGGGTGTAGCTTAGTGGAACAGTGCTTTCCTAGCACACCAGAGGCCCTGGGTCTGGTCCCTAGCACCCCACAGGAAAAAATCGTTGACCTTTTATAAAACTACATTTTATAAATTTACAATCGAAAGCAGATCTACATATCCATGTTGTTTCACATATGTTGTCCAACAATTGAAACAAATACCAATTTTGAAATTTTAATTGAAATAAAAAGTCAGTTCCTATCCACACCCCAAGCCTAGTCATGAACATATCACACGCATCCGAAGTGAAGGAAGTTGATGCCCTGCACTCCTCAGCATGCTCAGGGTGTCCGGTCCGGATCAGAGGGGGCCGGGGAGACACAGCAAGCAGATGCCCGGGTCTGGAGCAGAGAAACCTGGGGAGCTGAGTTGCCTCTGGAGTTTGCAGGACCGCACCAGCGCCAGTGCCTCAGCGTGATGAGCGAGCGTGACCGCAGAGGACGCTCAGGGCAGAGGAGGGGCGAGGGCCCAGGGCTGCAGCAGCCTCACTGCAGCTCTTCTGTCAGGATAAAGTTACTCTGATGGGGACGGGAAGGCTTAAACTTTCTTTCTTTCTTTTTTTTTGGTCTTTTTTTGAGACAGGGTCTCGCTATGCAGTTCAGGCTGGCCTTGAGCTCACTTTGTAGCCCAGCCTGGTCTAGACTCACAACGGTCCTCCTGCCTCAGCGTCCCCAGAGCTGGGATTACAGGCGTGCGCCACCACGCCCAGCTTTTGACTTAAACGTCCAAAGAAGCTCAGTTCTTCAGTGGCACTTTCACCCCTTCGCATCTGTGCCCCCTGCTCTGTCAAAGGCAGTGCGGATGTCACCAGGCCGGGCCCGGGCAGGCTCCTGAGTGGCCGGAGGGACGCTGACCCGGCCCACGCTGAACAAGCTGCCGCCTCGCTGCCAGCCGTCGCGGGGAGGGCATGTTCCGGACGGCCAGTGAGAGGAGCAGGGAGGGCGTTAGGCGGAGGTAGGGAAGTGCCCGCTCCAAGAAACGGCGGGTGGGCCCTTGTCTGCGGAACTGGGGTCCTGCCTGCTGCCCTTGAGAGGGTGGGGTCCCGAAGTGTGGCCCATCCCGGGATGGGGGTCCCGGAAATGCGGCCCGTTCTACAGGGGTGCACCCCGGCTTTTGTTTGTTTTAAGACAGTAATCTAAACATCCCTCGGCGTCTCTCAGCCCGCTCCTTTGCCTGGGACCACGCCCCGCCCGTCATTTCCCCGGTGACGCGCAGCGGCAGACTCCGAGCGCTCCTGAGGGGGGCTGGCGGGGCGCGGCCGAAGGTAGGCCGGGCAGCTGACGATGCGTTTCCCTTCGTCCCGTTGTTGCTGTCCCTCCCACTCGGAGAGCGGGACCGGCCTCGGAGGGGCTGCGGGGCGACAGGGACAGCTCTGTGGACGCGCGGGGATTCGCGGTGCCGCTGTTGCTATGGTTACGGTGGTTCCCGCTGTTGCTATGGCTACGATTGTCCGGTTAGGGCAGAAAGGGGCTCAGAGCCCAGGCGCTCTGCCGCGGTGGCCGGGGCAGGGCCGGGACCAGCCTTCCGTCCGGGACAGCGGGTCTCCCCGCGCCTGCGCGGAGCTGCTGCGACCAGAGGGCGGGACGGGTGGACCCGTCGCCGGGGGCGAGCGACGTCACCACGAGGGGGGCGAGCGGTCGCCCCGTCGCCGGCGGCCCGTCACCCCACAGCGCCCCGGCGCCCGGCAGACGAGACGACTCTTTGACAGCCCTCGTCAGCCCCCGTCACCCTGGCCGCAGGCGCTTCCTCGCGCTCCTTTTCCTTTCCCACGCGCCTCGGGCTCGCGGCTCTCTTGACACTACAATACCCAGAAGTCTCCGCGCCCTTCCTGCGTACGGGTTGCCTTGGAGACAGACACGCCGGAGGTCGAGACAGGGGCGGGGCCAGGCCGAACGCGGCGTTCCGGTTGGTGGAAAGGCCCCACAGACTTCTGCACACTGGGGAGGTTGGCGCATGCGCGTTGCGGGGCCCTTCCCGAGGCCGGAGCTGGTCTCCAGGGAGGAGTGACAACTCCTCCCCCCCGCCCCCCCCGACTGTCCCCAGCCGGGCTTTCCGGGCTCCATGGTAACAGCTCCGCTTTCCTCGCCTGTGACGTCGTAGTCCCCGTGGGTGGAGAGCAAATTTGAAAAGGTCGAGGGCTGTCAGAGCCGCACCGCCAGCTCAGCGTCCTCATCGTGGGCACGGTGGGGAGGGAGCCCGACCGCCGCCCTTCGGAGCTGAGCAGAGATCGCGTCGAGCCTCTGCCCCAGCCCCCGCTGTGCTTGCCCACCTGCTAGAAGTGTACAGTGTGGGGTGATGAGGCCCAGGAGCCAGAGCTGCAGCCCGTCACCCCCGGACGGGTGACTGCGGTGTTCCCGGGCCCTGTCCCTGGCGGCCGCCCGGCGCCCCTGGAGAGCTCCGCTCTGACCTTTGCCTTAGCCCGCCGCCCCGCAGAAGACCGGCCAGCCTGTGCCGGAGTGGCCGGCCTGGTCTGCAGCGCCGGCGTGGGCCTCTCAGGTTTATTAACCTGTCCGTGAAGCTCACAGCTCTGGCTCTGCTTTTCCTGACAGTGGACCTTTTACCGTCAGGCCTCAGTTTCCCCTTTTAAAAGCGATGTCTAGAGCCCAGCCTCCGTCCTTTACCGGCTCTGGGCCCTCGAGCGAGGTGCACAGACTCGGTGCTCGGTTTCGGCCCGTGAAATGAAGGCCCCTGTAAACTAGCCACGGAACCGCTGTCAGGACTGAGAGTGGCCCCACCCCGCGCCCCTGCGACGTCAGACCTTTGACAGCAGGGCGGGGACAGGTCGCTCCCTTCCTCGGGGCCTGCAGTGTGGATCTGCGAATGGGATCGGGTTCTGTGACCTCTGCGTGCTCCCGCCGAGCATCTGTGGGAAACAGCAAGTTCCGTCTCTTCCGTCACCGGGGATTGTCTTTATCTCAAGCTCACTCTGAACAGCCCTTCCCGGACACAACAGTGCAGAGTTTCCTGCGCAGTCTGACCCTGGGAACGCAGCTATAAACCAAGATAGCAGATCAAGAGCCAAGGATTTCCTGTTCTCTGCGCGCCCCTTCCTCCCGCTTCCCCCTCAGTAACCCTCCCGCGGCCTCCCTCGCTGCCTGAGTCAGCCCGTGGGGCAGGCAGACCCGAATCTTCTGCCCAGCCAGTGGCGAGGGCCCAGCTCCCCTCTTGCTTTAGGGACAGAAGAGCCCACGCTACTTTGTTCTGCGCCCTCTGCAGAAGTAAACTTGTGCCTTGTCAGGCCCTCTTGCTTGTTGTCTGAGTGCATTTTTCTGGCACCAAAAATTTGAGTCTGGGGCCTGTTTCTGACAGTGGCTGTGTTCTGGCTGAGGGATGCCACAGGGTTTGCTGTGGAAACGCCAGAGTTCCGGAAACCTCTCCTGGTCGTGTCCACTGCTGTGTGACCCGGTCAGGCCTCGCCTTTCATTGAGACCAGAGTCACCGAGCGTTGTGATTCTAGCTTCCAGGCACTGCCCGACTTGGTGGCGGGATCTTGTGCCGTGCTGCATCCGCGACATTCCCACGGGTGCAGCCTTCACCTGGGGGTCCCGCACAGTGAAGCAGTCAGCAGTTCTAGTGCCACCACAGGCCTCGCTCGGAGCCCTCACTCTGGCGTTAAGCACCCTTTCCCTCTCGGTCTTAGCCTTCACCCGTGCTCGTAAATACTTGTCTTCCACTTGTGTTGCAAAATCAGACCAAGTCAGAGGCCCTTGCAGGAGCGTGAAAGGACTGAGGGGCGTGGTGAGGGCCCTGTGTACACAGCTTCGGCAGCAGCCGAGAAATGAGGCAGCGTGGGAGCGTACGCCTCAGGCTGCCCCATGAGGAGGGTCTCCCTTCCTTCCGGTCTTCCTGTAACCACTGAACTAAATTCGGTGTTTACTGTGTCTGTGCTAGCGTTTATATATATATATATATATAATATATATATATATATATTTTTTTTTTTTGATACTGGGAATCAAACTTGGGCCCCTGTGCTTGCCAGGCAGGTGCTTGGGCCGCTGAGCTATGTCCCCAGCCCCAGCGTTTATATTTCTATCACAGATGCTTATATTGTTTTGTTTTGCATATGTTAGAACTTTAAATAAGTGGTATTGTACTAGATGTCTTCTGGAAGCCAAGATATTACCATCCAAATCTTGAAGGTACACAAAGAAAACTTTGGGCTATGTATTTGTCATTAGTTATTTCATCCTTTAAAAAAAAATCTATTTTTTAATTTTTCTTTTGTAAGCAAGGAATCTGTCTGTACAGTGATGCCCATGTGACTTTCATAAGCTTGCAAAGACATATTTAGGTCATCAGACCTGGCCCTGTTCCCCAAGGGGACAGCTGGTCGACCCCCAGAGTAGCCACGTGGTCACCAAAGCTGGCTCCCCTTCCTCTGGAGCCTGTGTCAGACTCCAGGGTTCCTCTGCTCCAGGTCTAAGTGCCAAGGACTTGCAGCAGACCTGAGGACCCCCTCAGGCACACGGACCTCAGGTCCCAAGACCTCCAGACATGCAGGTATTGTTCCTCGGCAGCTTTCACGGTGGAGTTAAGTTGGGGTTCACAGATGGTGGTGCCCTGGCCACCTTTCACGTGTTAGACGGGTCTCTCCAGAGCCTTCCTCCCTCTGCTGACACCCTGGTTTGACGCCCCTGGGAAGCCATGGGTTCCCCCTTCATTCCCTGCTGCAGGGCACTGCTGTGTTCTATGTGAAGTCTGTCCGAGGACGGCCTCCCAGCTGGTGGGCAGGCGACGGAGGCACAAGATGGTGCCTGAATTCCACACACTCCTTTCTCAGCCTTTGAATCCACCCTGTGTTTCCAAGGAGCCGTGCTCTTGTTTAGCGGGTGCTGGCGGTTAGAAAGAACTATTTCCTTCTGGGAATTTAAGTGGAGAGCTCGGGAGTTCAAGCTAAACACTCAGGCCCCAGCACCACCGGAGCGCCCCTCCCCCACGCCCTGTGCTGCTGTTTCCTGCATCAGGGACTCCGCCGGCATCTGTCTGCCCTGTGCTCACGTCTCCTCTCTCCTGAACTTCACTCCGTCCTCAGAGCTCTTTGTGTGCTTAGTTTATCTACGTGTGCGAAGACAATGGGCTGCTTCAGAAGACACTAAAGTTACCTTGGTGTCGTCAATCTATTAAACACTTGGTTGTGTTTTTTTTTTTTCCTGTACTGGGAATCAAACTCAGGACATTGCACTCTGCCAGGCAGGTGCTGTGCCACTGAGCTATATCCCTGGCTAAAAACTTAGATTTATTGTTTTTGTTTGTTCTTATTTGGAAGGATTATGTTTCATTCCCTTTAGATGTATGTATGTATGTATGTATGTGTGTGTGTGTGTTTTATGCTAGGGACCTTGCCCAGAACCTTATTTATGCAAAACACGTACACTACCCCTGAGCTACACCTCAGCCCTTTTTTATTTTTTATTTTGAGACAGGGTCACTAATTTGCTTAGGCTAGGCTCAAACTTGAGATCCTCCTGCCTCAGCCTCCCAGAGTATTGGGATTATAGGCCTGCACCACCATACCTGGTTATGGAAGGTTTCATTCCTGTCCTATTTCTGTGAACATCCCGTAAGTAACCACCTTCATTTTAGTGTGTCCTTCCTCAATTCTAACTGAAAGGATGAAACAAGATATATATCTATTTATTTCCTGCTGGTTTCATTGAAAAATGAGTGCTAGCCATCAATCCTTAACAAGCACTGAGCTTACTCAGTTCTTCCAAATCATGTGTGTGTGCACGTGTGTCCATGTTAATATTTAGTGATTACGAACTGGGCGAGGTGGTATAGAGGTACCTACATATAGAGTCCACCAAAAAAATGTATGCACACTTCAGGAAACGAAAAACAGTATGATGTTGTTTAACAGATGGTGTCTCCCTCGTATGTACGGGGCACCCTGGAGGACATCATATATTGCAGAAAACTCACTACACGGTGGCCCTTAGAGAAGAGATGGAAAATGTACGTGCAGCAATCCCAGTGGCCCAGGTGACTGACGCGGCAGGCTGCCGTACTAATCCAAGCGCCTCCTGAATTGTAGAGGTCAAAGGTAACTTGTACCAATGCCATAATGTCTCCACAAATTTAGTGTTAATACATGTGCGCACATTTCTTTTCCTGAAGCGTGCGTCACTCTCTTTGGCAGACTCTGTGTATTTCCCGCCTATGTCTCATTGCCATCCTTTTCTCACAGGTTGCTAAATTCCTACCGACTTTCCAGGGCTGCTTCCTGTAGTCAGGTTACAGGTTCTCTGCCACCCCTGGGCCGCGCAGCCCCTTTCGCCCTCGCCGGCATCGTTGCTTCACTGAGGCTTCTCTGACTTCTCAGAAGGCTGAAGGACTTCCCTTTCTGGGTAGAAAGGGATCACGGACCACCTGGGGCCAAAATGCGGCAGCCCGGCTGGAGGCCAGGGTGGAGAAGACCTCCACAGCCGCCATGGCGCTGTGGGAGCTCGGCAGGAAGGCGGCCCGGATGCTGCAGGCCACCAGCACGCTGAAGGGGAGCAGCCGGGCTTCCCTGAAGGTGCGGGGCAGGTTCCTTGCCAGGAAGGCGACAGCAAAGGTCCCCAGCGCCGAGCAGCCCAGGTAGCCCGGGACGCAGTGCAAGGCGGCAAAGGAGCCCTCGTTGCACTGTCCGATGGTGACGCCGGACACAGGCTGGGTGTCCTTGTCTGGGAAGGGGGCGAGGTCCCCAGCAGACCCCCCAGAGCAGCACTCGGGTGACAGAGCAGCGGAGGACGGCGCAGCCAGCCGTCTGCAGGGCCAGCCCCCTCCGCAGCCTGCTCGCCGGTCAGGAGGCCTGGAAGGCCCCGAGCACAGGGAGGGTCTCGGCTGAAACCAAGGACGCCACCGCTGTGACCCCACGAACAGCAGCGGGCAGAGGGAGCCACGCGGCAGGGCCCAGGGGGACGCGGCTCAGGGTGCGGCTGTGGGCCCTGACCACGGGGCGTGGCAGAGCTGCGGGAAGACCGGAGCCCCGGGACACTGGAGGGAGAGCCCGCGCAGGGCCAGCGCCGCTCCCGAACGAGGGCCGGGCCCAAGGGTTCCCCCGGCTGGGAAGGCCTCCTCCTGGGGCAGGGAGTGCCGGCGGCGCTGGTCTGCAGAGGGGCCTCGGGGCGGAGTGGGCACCGCTCCATGTCTGCGGGGGACACCGAGGGTGGTGCTGGAGCCACTGCCCACTGCAGCCACTCCAGACGCCTGGGTGTGCTGTGGAGAGGACCCTCCCGAGTTTACCTTGCTGTGTATTACCCATGTGGGGCTTTGCGCCTGACCAGCCCATGTGACCGTTCTGGAGGAGGTCTAGCGGAGCACTAGTGTAACGGGGAATGAAAGCAGGTCCTCAGTCCCTGTGGAAAGCTGCGGGGACAGCACTGGGTGCTGAGATACGTCAGCAATGATGACATGATGGCTGGCTGAGCCAGAGTTCAGGTCCTCGGATAATTAACTGTTTGGCCCTCGCTAACCCTGGTAGTGATCCCTCCCATTTCCCCCGTTCCCGCTTTCTGTGAAAGAACCCTAAGGAAAGGCTAAAGGAGATGGTAACTGAGGCTTCAGTCCTGGCGGCCGTAGCGCCTACTCCATAACTTTGTCTCTCCTGTTTTTCTTTTCATCCGCCGCACCTCGTTCTCGGGCCTGTCACTCCACGGAAACCGACGTAATACCGACCGTGTGTGCGCGCAAGCAAGCACTTCAGCTTTCCACCAGTACTGGGGACGAGTTACCCCGGGAAAGCCTCTGTTGTGAGGGACAAAATCGTTGGGGATTTTATCCGTTTCCGTGTCTGTAGGTACAGTCCCTCCCGCGGTATCTGTTAGAGAGCGATGACAGATGGACAGGTGGACAGGTGGATAGATCTGGGTTGTTAGGCAGGTAGGAAGATGGGCATAGCCCCACCCTTGTCAGTAAGTACATGGGCTGGCAGGTGTGTAAGAGAAACCTTCAGAGGCCGTTAGCGAAATAGCACAGCCCAGGCGTAGGTGAGCGCGGGGGGTTGCACAGCGACCTCACACAGGTTCTGTTGATCACTTGTCATCCGTCTATCTTCTGTCTAACCTCCATCCATCTAGAAGTGGGGATTGTACCACAGGCCTTGCGCCTGCCAGACGAGGGCTCTCCCACTGAGCTGCACCCCCAGCTCTTTCTTTAAATCTGTATTTATTTTAAACAGGGTGTCATTAGGTCTCCCAGGCTACCCTCCCACTTGTGATCCTCCTGCCTCAGCCTCCCGAGCAGCTAGGCTGGCTGGTATGCCCGCCACCCCGGCTCCCACGTGGTTCAGAGACAATTCGGGCAGTGTGCCCAGTGGCCAGGCTCATGGACGGTGGCACGGGCCGGGTCGTGGCGGCCTGCGGTCCCTGTGTGAACCCCAGTGCACCGCCCACCTCGTGCGGAGCTGGCAGGGAGAGTGACCGCAGAAGCCACACTGTCCCGGAAGTGACTGGCGCTACCCACAAAAGGACACCGGGTGTCTGAGGCGCTATCTGAGCGGCCAGGACGATGGGAGCAGAATCAACTACAAAGTGAAACCTGACCCCCTGCTTTCCTGGTCCTCTTCCCACTCTGCAGCCCTACTTTTCCTTCTTTTTTCATTTTTTACCTAGTGCTGGGGGTTGAACCCTGGGCTGCCTCCCCTAGACCCTTTGCAAAGGATCTCGCTAGGTCACCCAGACTGGGCTCAAATTTGCGGCCCTCCTGCCTCAGCCTCCCAGAGTGCTGGATTACAGGCTGTCTGCAGCCCTTGTCTCGCCTGGCCTGGGGGCTGACCCCCGCCTGGCGGCCTGGCTGAGGCAGCTTGAGGCGGGTCTAGGCAGAGGGCGGTGGTGTGGCCCTGGGGGTCAGAGGGAGGCGTGCGCTGGGAGGAGGGCTGGTGTGCAAGGCCGTGGGCGGCTCCTGCTGGGGGGCCCAGACCGCGGGTGGGGTGAAGGCGCGGCTGGTGGGGGTGAGGGCTGGAGGTCTGGCGGGACGCGGTAGGCTTTGGAGGACGGGCCTGTGTGTGGGGCTGGGATGGGGATTGGTGGTGTCCTGTGAGGATGTGTGTGTGTGTGTGTGTGTGTGTGTGTGTGTGTTCGCACGCACTGTGCTCACCAACAGGGCCACACAGCAGCGATGGAGCAGCCGCCCCTCCGCCCCCAGTGAAGACCCACACGCACACCCAGACCCGCCAGAGGGAACCGGGCTCCCAGGAAGAGGCCTGCAGGTTGGCGTGGGCGCGAGGGAGGGGGCCGTGTGCTGCTTGTGGAGCCATGGAGGGAGGGAAGGTGGCAGGGAGGGGCAGGGAGGACCCTGAGCAGAGGACGGGGCGCAGCAGGGAGGACCAGCAGGCAGCTCCAGGCCCGAGGGCCAGGCGGCGGGCAGACACAAACCTTCAAATAGCAGGGCCCGGCAGGGACAGGCCACGTCAACCGCTGCAATGCAAAGCTGACCAGTAACGGCTGTTCACCTCCTTACAAAGTGCTTCCTCGGACAGGTGCGGCGACACCACCTGGCCGGGGACCGCGGCCTCGCCTGCCACGGGGGTGGAAATCAGGGCCTCTGCCGCCCGCCACCCAGGAGCACGGGCGATCGCTCCGACGCGCTGCCCTGCACGCGCAGAACCGGCGGAGCGAACGGCGCATGGCCCTTCCCGAAGGACTTCCCGCTGAGAATCGGGCCTGTGGCTTCAGCGCACAAACTCGCTGCCATCCCAGGAAGACGGACGCGCTTCCAACGGAAGGGGTCTGCGCAGGCTGGGGCCCCGCTTCGAGCCGATCCGACCGCAGGTCCCCGTGCTGCGGGGCCTTTCCCGAGGACCGCGGTGCGGCTTGCAGAGGGCCTGGGCCTCGTGGTCCTGACGCCCCGTCACACAGCCATGAACGAGGACGTTCCTGTCTGTCCAGCCTCACTCTGAGGCGCACGCCGATGCGGCCGTGACGGCATCGTCCCACCCAGCCCCTCTGTGAGGAGGTCAGCCACATTTCAAAGGGACACTTAAAGAAAGGGACAGACCAAGAGGCACCACCAGCGTCCCGTGGTGACTTGAACCCCGGTCCAACTCGCTGGGGCGGAACAGCAGACAGCTCACGTCCCAGCTGACAGACAGGCAGATGAGTGCACCCTCTCAGAAGCGGGGCCGCTCTGTCACTCACCCCGCGGGAGTTCGGGGTGGGGCAGGAGGTGTGGAGGGGCTGGGGCGGGTGGGAAGTTCTAAGGAAAGGAGTCTGGTGAACCTGAGGATGCACCGTCAAGGGTGCCTCTCTCTTTTCCTTTTTTTTTTTTTTTTTGTCTTTTTGAGACAGGGTCTTGCTATGCAGTTCAGGCTGGCCTTGAGCTCACTTTGGAGCCCAGGCTGGTCTCGATCTCGCAACGATCCTCCTGCCTCAGCCTCTCGAGTGCTGGGATGACAGGCGTGTGCCACCATGCCCGGCTAGGATGCCTCTTTCTAACTCAGGTGTTTCCCGCCGGCGTCCACAAGCTCAGCACAGATGGTGAGTCGCTGAGGGACTCCTCCACCTTGTCCCACCTGACCTGCCCGGCACCGAGGAGCCCCAGAAAGTCACTCTTGGGCTGCTGTCTGCAAACGTGCTGGGAGCTACAGATGCCTGCCCGGGCTCTGCAGGAACCTGGGGTTCGAGCTGTCCGGAGCACGAGAGGAGAACAGAGCATGGCTCACAGGGTGCTGGTGAGCTGGCCTTACTGCTCGGCCGGCGCCAGCGCCCAGCGAGTGGACGGACCCGAGCCTGGCTGTTCAGCCTCACGTTGCACTGAAGGTGTTACTCGGCCTCGGCTGAACAACTTGTATTTCCTCCGCTGCTTTTTCGTATTTATGACTGGACACTTATTGTGTCCAGACACTTGTTGTATCAGACACTTATTGTATCAAGGCTCCAAACACCCCTGCAGGGAGCCCGTTCTGCACAGGAAACAAGCAGCGTGGGCGTTGCAGTCCCCGTGGATGAGCATGGATTGCCCTGTTGTGCCCGGAACAAAATTCGATGCAGACGATGAGCTACACGGTCTCTATGGCAACAGCTCAGGGCTGCCCCAGAAAGCCACTGCAGGCCATATGCAAATGGAGGCACAAAGTCCCTTGTGGCCGAGCTTGCTCACTCAGAGCGTGACTCACCCCCATGACTGAGCGGGCGCCTGGTCCTGCACAGCCCACCCCCGCCAAACCCTGGGACGAGCCTCTTCCTCCACATCCAAACTGGACAGAGCCAACGACGATTTCCCAACTGGAAATTCAAATGGAGGCCTAGGGGCACTCAGTGAACCCGCTGGGGGCCAGGCAGGGTCTAAGGAATGGCAGAAGTTCCCCCGGAGGAAGCGGGGTGGGCCCTCGGCTCCCGAAGTGTGGGTTTGGTAGGCTTCTCTCGCCTGCCCTGTCTGGAAGTGTCCCGCTGGGCAGGGGCTGCCCTCGAAGCAGCAGTGGGCCGGCCCTGGCCTGAGGCCTGGCTGGAGCCGGGTGGGCAGCTCTGGCTACACACGGAGTGTGGCATCTGGGGACGCAGAGGCCAAACGTCAGATGGCTGCCCTGTGAGAGCGAGGCTCAGAGCCCCTTCCCGGCCTGTCCCTTCCTCTCCCGAGCCTGCCCTGAGCAGGAGTGAGGGCAGGGGCCACACCGGTTACTGCCGTGCAGGCATCATTGAGGACATTTTGGCTATGCTAAGAGAAATTTCAAGATGGATAAGCTTCAACAGTCACAGAAGTTTTGTGCACACAACTGGATGTTGAAATGCTGCTTGTGTACCAGAAAGCCAGGGACAGTGATTTCTGTCTTGAATTCACTGGGTTTTCTCATGGGGATGAGATCCTCCTAAGCTATTAGAGTCTTCATATCCACAAACCATACAGGGTGGAAAGAGGAAATCTAACTGGAAATTACACAAGTAGAATGTTACAGGTTTTGGATTTTTGGTTTTAGTAGACAAACCGAAGAGGAAGAAAAGACGTTGTCCTTTACCGCAGGAGACAAGAGCACCTCTTCATTAATCTGGGACCCTGAAGTCTTAGCTGGCAGGATAAATGTGAAAAAGAACGCATTTTTGCCGTTAAAGTCATGGACAGGATGAGTTACCTACATCTGCCTGGGATCCATGACAAATGTGCTGGTTGTTGACCATGAGCTCCCTTCACACAATCCTAGGAGTTCGTTTATCACTGCCTGAATAGTCTGAGATTCCTCGCTGAAGGATTTGGCTTAAGAAGTAGCACCCAGATGTTAACGTTTACTTATACCTCACAGAATTTGTCTTCAATCCCTTTGGGAGGGACAGACCATGGACCTGGGCCTCACAGTAGTTTTCTTTGAAACATGAGCTGAGCCCATTATTTGAATAATATCATCACAGTGCATGGTTGAGCTAAGGCTGAATTTAGCGATACTTAGGTTTTGCGGGTGGTTCACGGGGAAGGAGCCACGCAGGAGGAGTCTCTGAGCATGCGAGCCACTCCTCTCAGCTGCTCCATAGCAGCTTTGTCTCTGCTGAGGAGCTGGACCAGAGGCTGCCAATACCCACAGAATGGAAGGAGTCACTGGGAAGATCTTTTCCATAAATGATGTGAAACTTGACAGGTGTATCTCCATTGGCATCAAAGGAAACTTCTTTCCCACTGGGGATTTTGAAATGGACTTCCTTGAAGTACGGTAAGAGCTGTGGATGTCAGGGTTCAAGAGGATCTGGGCTGCGTGCCCTAAGACAGCCTTTTTTCCTTAGCCCTTAATTTTGTATGAAATTAGAGATACTGTTTTAGGAAGGAAAGACATTTAGAAAATGCACATGTTTTTAGATTATGAAGTAGGATTTCTCCCTTTACCTCCATTCGCCAGTTCTGTTCTCCTGCCCAGAGATAACGATCTGTGTTAGTAGTGTTCCCGCACTGCCACAAAATACCTGACACAGCTCAAAGGAGGGAGGCTCACGGTTTCCGAGGCTTCAGTCCACGGTCAGCCGGCTCCACTGCATTGGGCCTGTGGAGAGGCAGAAACATCATGGCAGAAGGACCTGGTGGAGGACAGCTGACCGTCTCCTGGCAAGCAGAGAGAGGAAAAACACCAGAGAGAAAGGGGCAGGGGACAAGATAATGTTCCCAAGGTCACCCCATGACTGCTCCCTCCAAGTAGGGGCCCCCTTGCAAGCTTCCATTATCCCTCAGGAACACATCAAGTTATGGCCTCCGCCATGGGCTTGTCCCGTGGTGAAGTTGGAGTCCTCAGGATCTAGTCCCATCTCTCAGCGCATGGGGCTGTGGGGACATTTTAGAGCTAACCTGTGACATGTGGTTACCAACCCCTGGAGTGCAGTGAAGCTCAGTGTAAGCCTTTACGTGGCACAGACACCTGCCTTGCTGCCCGTGAGCTGCTGTCGCAGCAGGCCCTCGGGCCTCCCAAGTGAAGACAGCCGCAGACAGAAACAAAGGAAAGGCCGCGGTACTGGGACACAACTCGCTTTACAGGCCAGCACTGCACCGGGTGTCAGTCGCTGGCCACAGCTCCCCCGGGGTCCAGAACTTCCTTCTCTGTTAATGTGTGCTATGCCCCTTCGAGCAGGCCCCAGACACCCAGCTCACCCCACCCCCAGCGCCAGCGGCTGCAGGCAGCAGCTCTGTAATCTCTCTTCTGTTCCCCTGCCTGCCCCTGACAATGCACAGCCCTTCTTACGTTTTCTCGCTATCCCTGAGATGATGTGATGGAGCTGAGCACAGTGGTGCACGCCTGTGATCCCAGCACTCTGGGAGGCTGAGACAGGATGACAAGTTCAAAGGAGCCTGGACGACTTAGTGATTTTACAAGACTCTGTCTCAAAATTAAAAAAAATAAAAAGTGCCGGGATGTATCTCAGTGCCGCAAAGGCCCTGCGTTCCATCCCCAGCACCACACACACACACACACACACTCACACACACACCCCTGTTCTCATTGGAACCTCCAGTGCCGTCCCATACTCTGGAGGATGAAAATACAGGCTTCTCAGTGTTCCCTGGGAAACAGAGCTAACTTCTTGGGCTCTGGCTGAGCCCTCCGACCTCACAGGAGGGACTGTGGAGGAAACCTCACCCAGGTAGTGTCTGTATCGTTGGTAACACAAAATCATTTCTGGATTCTAAACAAACACCCAGAGCTGAAGGGAGGGAGTGTGGGCCACTTCTCTCTGCCTCTTCCAGTGTGGTGTGCTTGCTGTTTTCTCCAGAGTAAAACGAATTTTCCTTTAACTTGGTAGCATGTCTTGACATGAGAGATAGCATCCAATTAAAAGTGACCTCCTCGTCCTCCCCCAACCCCCAGCTAAACCTCCAGCCACTTTTCTTTCTTTTGGGGTGGGGAGTGGGGGGGGGGCGGAGGACCAAGGGTCCCTCGTGTCACCGTCCGAGTGCTGTCTCAGGACCCCTGCTCTTGGGCGTGGGATCCTCACGTGATCATCTGTCCAGACATCACAGGGTCCTGGGAAAGTGGGCCTCGGACCAGGTACCCACCCGCGCTGCCCCCACCTTCAGTCACACCCTTGTCTCGGTCACCTGCCTCCCCTCCCGAGCATCTCCTGCCCCATCTGCTCGCTCATGGTGACCCTCTGTCCTCGAGGACAGGGACGAGCTTTCGGTGTCGCTGCTTTCTAGAGTTCTTATATCTGTGCTGCACACGCAGGAGACGTTAAGAACATCTGAGGGTAGAATGAGCCGTGTAAGCCTTTCTCCTTGAGTTCCGTGTGGCATGCATGCTGGCATTCACAAGGGCTGGTGGGAAAATGTGAATGTTCACATTAACTATATTTACTACAGTCAAAGACCCATGGCCACGAATCCCCCTCAGAACTCACCCCTTGTCTTCAAACACACTTGTCCCATCGTCCTTGCCCTTTCTGCAGCAGCTCTGGAAGGCCTCTTACCTGAGTGTCTTTACGAGGTATGATAAAAAATACAGTGAACGCTGCTGCCGGGTGCTTCCTGACAGACAGGCAGGCTCGTAAAACGTGAGGCTGCGTCCTCATCCACCTTACTCACCAGGTCTGCGCTGTGTGGCTTCTGGCTCTCCTGCAGAGGCAGCATGACCATGGAAAGTAAATACTGAGTTCGATTCAGACCACGGAAGCAGCTGAAATAGCACAAGTAAAGACACTCATGAGAGAGAATTTCCAGAACTGTACAGAAAGT